AATGGATTAGTTCATCCACTGCTTTCTCCTTGTTTATGTTTGGTTATAGTTTTTATGATGTATTTTTGGAATTAGGCCATTGTTAAGGGATGAATTTTTCCTTCAGGGGGCTGTGGCTCAGTGTTAGAGTATCTGCTTGGCCTGCAGGGGGTCCCAGGTTCAATCCCTGGCATCTCCACTTCACAGGCTCAGATAGTAGGTGATGTGGAAGACCTGTGCCTGGGATGTGGAGAGCTACTTGATGGACAAATGGTTCAGTATAAGGCAGCTTTTTGTGTTCCTGGATGGGCCAAACTACACCTTTCTCATCAGCTGACTGTTGCTCCTCTGATATAATTTAATTGACCAGTTCTTTAATAACTAGGGTGGTGGTAACTGCATTGCTGATAGTGTTGTGGGCAGAAGTCATTTCGGGGGGATCACGGGGGATCGCAGTTCCCCCGGGTGAGGTACGGGGGCGGGGCACATGACGAAGCCCCGCCCCCTGCTTCCGGCCCTCATTCAGCCAGGAGGAGGCAGGAGAAGAGGGAGGGTAAGTTGCTTCCTCCCTGCCTCTCCCCACCCCTGCCTGCCTGGGGCAAGGGAGGGCCTTCACGGGGCTTCCTTGCACTCCCGCCGGCCTTGCAGGTCCACTGCCGGGCCCCTCATGGGGCTCGGCAGTGGAGCTGCAAGGCCGGCGGCAGCCGGGACCATTGGGGGCGGGGTGTGTGGCCTTATGACACACTTCCGGTGATGTCAGGGGGTGTGGCATATGCTAATGAGTTATGCTAATAAATTCCCCTAGCTCTTTTTCTACGAAACGACCCCTGGTTGTGGGCTTCACATCACCACTTTATGTAGCTGGAGTCTATAATGAGGCCATATCATGTCTCATTAAAGGAAAAGGTGAAGGTATATGGACATAACCCCATAAGACAAGAGAGTATGTAGAGAACCAGGAAGATGCAAGTTTTTGTTTATTAGTAAATAATCTTATTCCAAGTCTATTTTTGATTTTTCAAACAGTTATGAACTAAAAAATGGATGTGTTGTGGTTCTAGATTATGTTCTCTTCTTTTTAGCTGTTTCCTTGGCTCTTGCTTTGAATGGAGTCTGCACAAACACTATTAAATTAATAGTGGGAAGGTAAGTCCTAGTACATTATAACTATTGGCTGAACTTCAGTACCAGCTGAATATAAATAAAATAAACTCTAATGCTGCTTTGGGGACACAGTAGTCAAAGAGTTCATATAAAATAAATGAAGTAAATAAAAGCTAGCATTGTCATAGCTTCTAACTCTTTTAGCAACTGCCCCTATAAAATAAAAGAGAGGGTGAAGATGCTAATGGGTGTTTTTCTGCCAGCAGTTTTCTTATTTAGAAATATCTAGAGAGTGTAGATTTTAAAAAATTCATATTAAATTATAAGTCTTCTGCAAAAGCTTTCATCAAATTGGATTACTTGCAACAATTTATATTGTGTCAGACAGTCCTCTTAGAAATCAGAGTTCATTCCTAGTATTCCCTCTCCAGAAGACTGCCTCCCACTGTCCTTTTATGCTGTACTTTAACAGGAGCACTGTGAAATCATGGAACTTTTTCCCCATGAACCATCCATGAATATGATCAGTATAAAATGGAGGAGCGGGTGCTAGGAGAAGCTATAAAAGCAACCTGCAGCAAGGGATCGGTTATTCTGGTTTCATAATTCCTGAAACAGAAGGTTGTGAGAATCTGCTTGGGAGATAACACATCCATATCCCCATAAAGTGGCTTTGGAGGGGATGTAATACAAATTGAATTTCTCCCCACCAGAGCAGTAGAAGTAACTAATCAGAGGAGAGAGGAACAGTTAAGAAAAGAGTGCAGACAAGATAGAAACCGAAATCTCAATTGTCCCCTAGAAGCTCCACAGCCCCGTAGCTAGGGACTTTTGGGGGAGGGGGCCATGGGGGGCCTGAAGCTCCACTGTATAACAGAGAGACCATTAAGTAAAGGCCAGCTTATAGAAACAGCAGTTGTAATCCGTTTTTTAAAAAGTCACAACTGTATGTGTTTTACAGATGTATGCTCTGTCTAACCGTGTCTGAATGGAATGATTCTCATTGCTTCTATAACTTAAAAACCTATTTTTTTTCTTCTATTTTGTACCTTGTAACAGGTTTTAGGTTCACAGCATCTTCCTTTTTGTCTCTAATGAGCCAGTTTGGTGTAGTGGTTAAGTGCGCGGACTCTAATCTGGGAGAACCGGGTTTGATTCCCCACTCTTCCACTTGCACCTGGCTGGATAACCTTGGGCAAGCCGTAGTTATGATAAGAGCTGTTCTTGTAAAAGAGCAGTTTCTGCCAAGAGCTCTCTCAGCCCCACCTACCTACAGGGTGTCTGTTGTGGGGAGGGGAAGGGAAAGGAGTTCGTAAGCCGCTCTGAGACTCCTTTGGGTAGTGAAGGGTGGGGTATAAATCCAATCTCTTCTTCTTCTAATAAGTAAATTGAAATTTCTTCATTTTTCTGCTACTACTGATGTAGAACAGTGTCAGTAAGCTGGGATTTAGCTATCTTTTTCCAGAAGCCTGACTAAATAAAAATCAATTCACTGTGTGACACAACTCCCAAACCACTGTTTTGTTTAATCTATATTCCTGCATGTGACCTTTTCCAGGTTATAGATGGAGAAGCTCTCTTAAGTTTGAATTAACCAATTAATTTCTGAAGAAGCTGCTCAGTATTGCCAGATGGTTCCTCCATATTCAGAACTACGTCTTTCTCCTTGCCCACATGCCACTCTAGACTGTTAAAATTCTTAACTGTTTTAGTGGCTGGAGCATTCTAGAAGAAAATAACTAATCAATTTCAGTTAACACCCCCGCACAGTATAAAACTGGAGGGAATTATCTCCCTCAGCGTACGTGGTCAGTTTAATGTAATGATCATTTTGCTGTCTTTACTAATGGCTACTTTTTTGTTTCAAATGTCTGTGGTGTTTCTTGTAGACCTCGTCCCGATTTCTTTTACCGCTGCTTTCCAGATGGAGAAATGAACTCTGAAATGCATTGCACAGGAGATCCAGATGTTGTGTCAGAAGGCAGGAAAAGTTTTCCTAGCATCCACTCTTCCTGTAAGTTCATTCTTCCTAATGAGGTGCAATGTGTATCTTGCCATTGTTCCTCCTGATTGTTCAAAACAGATGTGAGACAGAATGAATATCTTTGTCTTCAGTAAGGCAGGGAGGAGTTCCATAATTCTAGTATCCAACTTCTGGAACTCTTGGTTCATGGCACTACTGGAAATACTGTTACAGAAATATTTATCTAAATAGAAGATTTTTTTTCTCACCCATCTTCCAAGGAACTCAGGGTAACAATACACATGGGTCTCCTTTCCCATTTCATCCTCACAACAACTTTGTGAGGTAGGTCAGGCTGAAAGAGAGTCCCAGGGCCAAGGTCATCCAAAAAAACTTCATGGAAGAATGTGGGTTTGAACCTAGATCTCCCAAATCCTAGTCCAACACTAACCACTACACTACACATCAATGGCTACCAGCAAGCCATCTTAAAACTTGCACAACTTGTAACTCTACAAGCCAAGTAACACCCACCGGCCATTGACTTGTTGGGACAGAAGTTGTGCTGGCCTGATCTATATGGCAGCATGTAAATTAAAATAAGGTGTAGCCCAAATGCAGACAATTTAGTTGTTTTTGATTGCAGATTTGATTGTAGATCTGACAGTCATTTGATCAACACATTTTTGTTTTTGGGGAAAAAAATATATCCTTGAATAGTAATCACTGCAGATAGATGCACGGATTAACCCCATGACAAATTATCAGTGATGGCTCAATTCTTCCATGTTTGCCTGTTAATTTCTCCAAATTTTCATGGTAAATTATTAGTGGAGGAAATAGGATTTTCTGAGTTGTTTCTAGGAAAGCTTGGGAAATAAACTAAAACAAATGGTGGATATGGTCCTTCTTTTGTGCTTCCCTGTGAATTTGTATTCATTCTGAGGGGAGGGGACTCCTAACTCTTGAGAAGGTTGAAGGGGTACTGATGGTGCAGAGCCCTTACTAGCAACAGCATAATTCTTAACCAAAAATGACATGCCTGAGCATGATGTTGGAAAAATTTATATTTTAGCCATTTTTTCTGTCAGCTGTTTATCCTCTCACCATTCTCAAGAGTAAGTCTCCCCCCCCCCCATTTTGGATGGAAAATATTGTTAGGGGGATAGCCAAGATCCATATTTGGATAGGTCAGGGCCTCTTATAAAGGAGTTCGTCTTTCTGTTCCCACAATTCCAAATTCACCCTCAATCACCACAGTTATACACAGAAGAGGGCTGCAGCTGTACTTGAGAAGTTGTTTACCATTTATAACTCACATACAGTGTAGTTAAGTGGCCAAATGATCTCCTTTGCAAAAATGTGTGAGGCACTGGAGCTGTTGTTCACGCCAAAGTCTGTACTGTTTAAAATAATCAGAGGACTTGTACAAACTGTAGTAAAGGTTTGACAAGATAACCTGAACATACCTGTCAGCTCACCATATCTCCAAATGCGTTATAAACATACCTTATGTTACCCTGTAAAACAGTTTATGTAACTTTTTTTAGAGCCTCAAAGTGGATAAACAGTAAGGCTTGATTCATGTGTGCATCATGATTTGTATCATTACTTGGTGAATTTATTTTGACAGAATTTATGAATTGCCTTCCTTGTAAAGGATTGTTCTTGAGGTGATGTGAGGTTTATATGAAAGCTCTCTCTGTGGAAATTGAACTGTGACTCAGGAGGTAGAAGGCTGAGCATGCATGGATGAATTTATCCTCAGCAGTTGCTTGGCTGGCTCAGCGGCTAATTAATGCATCTAATGACTGCATATCTGCTCCTTCTTCCACCACATGCTTAGATTTAACCTAAACCAGAAAAATTGTGAACTTTTGTGCAGCTGTAGTCATGTACCATATCAGCCTTGACTCTAGGAGGTATATGGGATAAGCAACGGTCTGGGTTAGTCATCTTTATGGCTTGTCAGTCCACCAGAATGGCATATTCCCAAGAGGAGTTGTACATTAACATCTTTCTGGGTCATTTCAGATTGCTTTCACCAGTGCTTGTTCCATTGAGATACATCCATAGAAGATACTTGTTCTGCTCTTGTATCTTTTTTTTTTACAGTAACAGAAAACATAGTTATGTCAGAGTGCTTTGACAGTTTACATGATAAACCACAGTGTACTTCTGGAAATGAGAGCTAAAAGGGACCTGCTACAGTTCAGTACAATGTTTTTTCCTAGTGTTAGAATATGTGAAGGAAATAAATCATACATCCAGGCAATGTGCTGTCAAGCTTCTGACAAAGACAGATTAAGAAGATCTTTTGAAAATGGATGATCTTTCTTGTCCTTGCTGTCAACTAATTTTTTCCCTGTCCACGCTTCCATGTTCTAGTTGACATTCAGGATGATTTTTGACTGATGCTTTTAATGTATTACATAATGTTAACTTGTTTGGTCCTAGAACTGGTTTGTACATATTCTCAGCTTCGCTGTCTTGCAAATCTGTATGGTGGTCGAGGAAGAAGTGCAGAAAAAATCATAGAAGGGAAAGGTTGCACTCTGAGAATGGAAATCAGGTCTCTCAGAAATTAACTTGTTACCTTCAGTGAGTTTCTTCTAATGTTCCATTGCTCATTTGACTAGACTGTTTGTGAGTGCACAAGGAAGGCAGTGAAACATGCAGGACAGCCTGTTGAAGAAACATGTGGACTGGTTTTTAATGATGTCTCATCCCAGTGAAACTAAACCATGCTTTTAGGACAACACCATCCTGTTTGTCATCAAATAGCTAGATTTTTTAAAAATGTATACTTTCTAGGTGTTGGGAGAAGACCTTTGTAGTATGTGTGAAATGGATCCTTTCCCCTGAGACCCCGTTAGAGCCACCATGTTTGTGAATTACATTTGCTAGAGTGAAACCCATGGAGATGAAATTATATGGCTGCCAGGAGAAAGTGGAAACGTCTATAAACTTGCAGTCCTCTACGCAGGTAACTGAGAGACCAGTGAAAAACATTTTTTTAAAAATTACAGCTTTCTTCCATGATCTACTTGGTCGAATATTTCAAGAGGCAAATTGAGTCACTAATATTTGCAAATTAGAAATAGCTTAGACTGGCAACATTCTGATGGGAGCTGTGCATTTAGATGTGCCTTGTCTGTGGCAAGCCATGTCTGAACTTACAAATACTAAAATGATAAAAAAACAACCAGATAATATACAAAAACATTTTAATGTTTAAAAGCAGCTAAAACCACTAAAATGCAAGATATCAGGCATAATGAAGACAAATATATGAAGTTGGTTGGCTTTTGCAATGTGCCTTGTGAAAGGCAGTAAAGTCAGATCTCTCTGGTCCTCTGCAGGGTGGATGTTACAGTGATGCCTCTTTGATTTCTCAGTTCAATTGAAACCTTCCAATTGCATACAAAAAGCATGGTTGTAAACAATTTGACTACAGTGGAACTGGATGCAAGTGAGTGGCTCAAAATGAACTCAGGTGCTGCAAGTGGTTAATTTGGATTCCTCTCATTGAAAGTAAAATACAAAGGGGACTTCAGTGGATAGAGTGTTGGACTAGGAACTAGGAGACCCTGGTTTGAATACCTACTCTGTCATGGAGGCTTGCTGGGTAATCTTGGACCCGTCATACACTCTTAGCCTAACCTACCTCACAGGGTTGTTGTGAGGGTAAAATGGAGAAGAGGAGGTAGATATCAGCTGCTTTGGGTCCCTGTGTACAGTGCTATAAAGTACTGAATTTCCCCCTTTTTCTTCTGCTTAGTCAGTAGCCTGTAATCTGGGACTGAGTTGAGAGTAGGGATGGGCAAGAACCGGGAAAATGAACATTCATGCTCGTTCATGAGGTCCTACGAACTATGAACTGGGATGAACCTCCCCTGCTTTGTGAACCAGTTTGGGTTCATGAGGTTTGTGGATCTTCCCCCCTGTTTTCTGTTGGGGGCAGCTCCCCAAGGCTGGCAGAATGGAAGGGGGGGGGAAGATCTCACTTCCCGGAAGGGAAAGGGAAGCAAAAGGGTTAATGCTGAAATTTAAAGGGAACCTTTAAATGCCTTCTCAATTGACTTGCTAAGTTGTGCTACCACTGGGGTGACACTCACAAGTGAACTGAAAAGTCATTTAAATGCCTTCCCAGTTCACTTGTTGAGTTGAGCTGTGGTGATATTACCTGTGGCAGTGGCATGACTCAGGGAGTCAACTGAGAAGGCATTTAAACGTCTTCCCAGTTCACTTGTGAGTGTGCCGCGGTGATGGCAGGACTCCGTGAGTCAACTGAGAAGGCATTTAAATGCCATCCCAGTTCACTTGCAAGTCGTGCCATGGTGGGGGCATGACTCAGTGAGTCAACTGAGAAGTCATTTAAATGCCTTCCCAGTTCACTTGTGAGTTGCGCTGCTGCAACTTGCAAAAGTTTTTGCAAGCTACACCACCACAGCACTGTGGCTTGAAGAAGGCATTTAAAGAGACCACAGTCTCTTTAAATTCCTTCTCCAAGCCCTGCCACCAGTGTGTCTGCTGACACAAATCACACGAACCTACCTGGGATGTTTGTGGGGGCTTGTGAAGGCAGAATGGCATGAACCTCGGTTCATGAACCATGAACCAGGCCCAGTTCATGACGAGTTTCAGTTTGTAATTCAATTTGTGCCCATCCCTAGTTGAGAGACAGCTGGCCCTTGGTTTACCAGAGGAAGGGGCTGCTTAGCTTTTTCCCCTAGGGTTCCCATGAGCTGAACCCCTTTTACTTTACCCCTTGTGAGTGAATGCCAGCCATTCACTCATATGGAAGAAAGTGTTGAATTCAGTCGGGGGAGGGATAACATGGCAGTGGAGACAAAGTTTCCTTGCTGTCCAGTAGTGGAAGTTCCATTGCCCCCCCAGTCGGAATAGACAGACACCAATATGGATTTAACAAGGGCCACTTTATTAATTATTTAATAACAACAAATACTAGCGAGGGGTTACCCGAAATGTACTGAGGAATATGACAGGTGTCAAACTCCTGACAACCTTCATTTCCTTCTGGGCGATGC